TCATCCTTAAGATTAATATACTATGCATATAAGGTCATCAGAGTTTGGTGACCGTGTCAGCATGCAAGAATCTAATTTTCTTTTTTCTCGTTCATTGAGGGACACGGGATTCAAAGATGATTATAGTTTGGTGACCTTTGTAATTGTTCTTGTCCTGCAGTATCATATGTTGGTGACCTTTGTAATTGTTCTTGTCCTGCAGTATCATATGTTGGTGACCTTTGTAATTGTTCTTGTCCTGCAGTATCATATGTTGGTGACCTTTGTAATTGTTCTTGTCCTGCAGTATCATATGTTCTTTAAAGTTCACTAAACTCTTTAATTCACTCCTAGTATCCTTCGAAGTCACAGCAGTTGGCACATAATCCTCCATATTAATTATTTTGTCTATGAATAGACTGGTATTTATCCCAGGGGTCTCTCAGTTGAGATACTGTTGCTATTTCTAATGCATCTGGCTGTTTCTGACCACTATTCTAGTTAAACTTGCTGACAGCATTTCTCCCAAATAATTAACCCCCCCTAAAACAGTAAAGTGTATGTATAGCATGGGTATGAGTTAGTACCCCTGTCAGGTTGCTATCCCTTATGGAGAATTCCCTATCATTGTCACAGACATAAAATGAGGAAAATAAAAACTAAATGGATACAAAATAATAATAATAAAGCTGGCACCAGAGCAAGAGGTGAGGGTAAAACTCCAATGTAGACACCTGTTTGTGAGAAATAGGGGAATTCCCCTCACTTATTATAGACTTCCTTTAACTTCCGGTTTCATTTCTGAGAAATTAAGGCAAACCTCTCTAATGGGATGCACATGGGGAAAAAAAAAATGAATTAATGGGGGTTTTAACCTTTCACTACCCTATCCAAAAGAAAACAAAAATAGGATTTTGGTACTCACCGTAAAATCCTTTTCTCTCCGTTCATTGAAGGACACAGGGAACAGATCGGAGATCATGTACTGATTTTGTACTCCCTTAAAAAAGCTTTTCTTGAAAGTTCATGGAGGAACTCAGTTATACTGTTGCATATAAAAGAATGTGTACACTACCAAAAAAAACAAGGAGTGACCAACCTGAGTTAACTGTTTTCAAACACCATGGCTCAGTTTTATAACAAACATTGCCAAAAGCAAGGCCAAAAACACAGGGGATTTTCCAGCAAGTACAATAATTCCATTTCCTTTCTCATTCATTGAGGGACACAGGTTTCAGAGACAATTGGGATGTCCAAAAGCAGTCTGAGTGGTGCGCAACAAAGCAAACTGTCAACAAGCCTGACAGAAAAACAACTGGGGACTGCCAGCAGCAAAAAGAGTTGTCTGAAGGACCTTAAGCCCAAAGCTGGCATCAGACAAGTCCTGAACACCCATCTGCTATAATGTAGTCAAGTAGTGTGCCTTTACAGGAAACCTGATCCTGAAGACCATAAGATTAAACAATGATGTGTATGAACCACCTAGAAATAGTGGGGCGAGAAGCTGGTTAACCTTAGTGGGGACCAAAAGGGATGACCAAGAGGGAGTCAGACTTTCTAACGGGAACAGAAGCTGCAAGGTGGACTCAGAGCACTAACAACATCCAAACAGGATGGAAGCACAATGTCTTGGTTGAAGTGCAAGGCTAAAACAATCTTGGAAAGGAAGGCAGTTTTAAGTTTCAATACCGCCTTGTCCTTGTGTAAGGCCAGAAAAGGATCACTACAGGACAAAGCCACCAGTACAAACACACGTTTCACAGAGGGTGATTTCTGAAGAGTAGAGAGAACCAGATTTAATTCCAAGGAAGCCACAAATGGGCACGCAGGGTGAGCTACATGACAAACAGCCTTTACAAAAGTTTTAATCAAATCAATAGGTTAGCAGTCTTTAAAATAGGACTGTTGAGCGCTGAAATCTGACCCTTGATCATACTTTGGTCGAACTGTTGATTCAAGCCTCAATGTTAAAAAATTCAGGATTCATCCCACAAAGTATTTTCTGAGATATAAATGTATTTCCTTGCACCAAGTGAAGTATGCGTTCCTTGTTCTGGGGAGTGGACTTCCTATCGTTTCAAATCTACCACCAAGTCAGAAAGGTCCCTGCCCCTCAAGACCTTTGCTTCAATGCAATGCTGTTAAACATAACAACTGTCATGCAGGATAACAAACTGGTGCTTGGGACCAGAGGCCCAGAGGATCTGTAAGAAACCATGGACTGTCTGATCGGGTCAGAGTACCACATCCACCTAGCCCAGTTTGGACCAGAGTAACACTGGAATGCCCTCCATCTCAATTCTGTGGAGCAGACAACGAAGGAGTTTTAGTGGTGGGTAAGGCATAGACCAGGTCGTGCTGATCCAACTGAACCAGCAGGGCATCCACTGTTTCTGCGGAGGATCACTGCATGTGGAGACAATCATGTTTAGTTTGTTTATGAACACCCAGCATTCGCTACCTGTGACAGGTTCTGGAACATGTTTTTTGTAGTTGTAGAGAGCAATCCCCATGGTCAACGCACTGCCAGGTGAGAAAGTCTGGCTGCCAAGTGTCAACACCAGGAATTTGAACAGCGGACAAGTTTAGAAATTGAAGTTCTGCCAAGGACAGAATCCTCTCTACTTCCCTTGCTGCGGCAAGACCTTGCAGGAAGCCCTTCTAGTTGAGATTTCCAATGCTGTAGGGACAACCAAATTGCTAGAGTCTGTAGTCAGCATTCCTTGTGCATTTAAGTCACTTGCATTAACAAGGTGCCTAGGACCCCTCCCCAGTCTGTTAGGTTGGCATCCGTTGTAATGATCTTTGAAGATATCGGAAGGAAGGATTTCCCCAAATCTAGAATTGGATTCCTGAGCCATCAGTACACAAGACAACCTTGACTTTATATTTTTACTGTTGGATGGAAAACTCTGGCTTGAGCTGTATCCAGGATCAGGCCCAGCTATTCCAAGCAATGACTTGCTTGCAATGCAGACTTCTGAAGGTCCAGGATCTAACAAACATTTTCAGAGTTGTTGATCAGAACCAACTTCTCTCAACAGGAGGTCATTCAGGAACCCCACAATGGGGATGCACTAGGAGTGTAATAAGGCAAGCTACAACCTTGGTGAATACAGGGGGTGTGGATAACAGACAGAATGATAGGGCCCATTACTAGAAGTGCTAAGGACCCACCAAAAAACAAAGGAATTGCTGATGTGCTGAAGAAATCGGGACATGCAAGTATATTTTATTTTATGTCTTCTCCCACAGCCAGAAAGTCTCCCTGATGTAGTGAGGCTATGACAGATCAAATGTAGACATTCCATACAGACCTAATGTAAACATTACATACAGAACTTTTGGGATCAAATGTACAAATGCAGGGCTTTGAGATCCAAGCTGGGGTGGATGCCCCCCTGTGGCTTTGGGATTGTATAAAGGTTGGAATAGAATCCCTGAAACCATTTTGATACAAGAGCTGGGGTTATAAAGCCTCACACCAGAAGACTCGCAAGGGCTACATGGAGGTCAGCTAAACTGAGTACTGGAAGATTGGAGGGCATAACGCGAGATGGGGTAGTGTTTAAACCACCTGCCTTACCCAGGTATCAGATTCTATCTGTCCAGACGTCCCCCCCAATTTTGAAAGCGGAAGGGCCCTTGATGTCAAGGTGGACTTATCCATAGGTTTGGGGTATTTGGGGGCCAAGGGCTTGCAGTGAAACTGGGCTCCTGGCTTGGGTTTTGCCCTACAGGCTGAAGGGATGATTTTTCCCAGCCTAAGCCCTAGGCTTCTACTGCTGGGGTAGAGAAGTACTCTTATCCCCAGTGACATCCTTGATAAATGTGTCCAAGGCATCTCTAAAGGGATGTTGATCTTTAAAGGGCATGTGCAGTAAATGCTACTTGGAGACCAGTACGGCACATAAGATGGGAGATATCCATTAACCCAGCTATGCAGTAGTGTAGGGCTATCAGCATGAACTCTATTCACTCCACAAATACAGGATTAGTGTGGAGTGAAGCTGGATCCCTTGTCATGAGTTTAGTCTGTTACCCTTATGTTTGACAGACTAACATAAGGGTTGCAATGCCGGGCCTGCTACAACCAGAGGTCTCCATCATTTACAAATATTTACAGGCTGCAAATGTATGAATTTAATTGAACTTAAATTAAATTTAAGTGAATTACATCCAGGAGTGCCCAGCAGTCTTCCCCTTTACATCCATGTGTGTTCAGCAGAGAAGATAAAGTCTAGATTGAATAAAAAAAAAAAATCTTGAAAAAAAAACGGCTAGTAAAAATGATTACATTTCATCAGTAGAGAAAATACATCCATCCTTCTAAGACAAATGCAAAAAACTGAGGCATGCTGGAAGTGGGAGGGGTTATATTAGGCTGGTCACTGTTTTTGCTTGCCCAAATCATCCTGTAGGCAGTAGTACAACTTAATTGTCTCTAAATCCTCAGTGAATGAGATAGAAAATAGTTTTCAATATACATACCTTTGAAATGTGTATAAAATAAAAATACAAGTTTACCACCGGTTTTATTTTACTGCTTTTAACATCTCTGATTATACATCACAATATAGCTAAGATTCTTGCTGTTAAAGGAATATTATTTCTGACAACTGTTCCCAGCTGGAGACGATGCTTACCATTATTTATATTTACCCAGGTATCTCAAAAGGTGCCTGAAATAACATGCAATACAAACAACGAGAGCGCATTCACTGTGAATGATCTCTTGTGGTTTGTATTGCTTGTAGTTTTTCTGCACAGGTACTCTGTCTGTTTTCTTTGGAGCTGCACAGTAACCAATTCATTCACCTCATACTGTCCACACCACCCTTTCTAATTTTGAGAGCGCTGAACAATTTTCTGTTGTTTTTTTTGCCTAAAAATAACATGTATGTCCCTTGGTGACATTGCCTATAATGGATTTTCACACTATCGCTTCTTTAGGTGACACTTTTTTTTAATAAAACAAACCATAAAAATATCTCCTTATTCTTATTTTGGCTCTGTTCCAGGATTTGCCGTCAACCTTCACGTGATTCTTTCAAGCCCCAAAGCAGTATTCAAGCGACGAGGTTCTCAGCCAGGAATGCAAGAATCTGATTTTTTAAAGCAGATTACCAAGGTGGAAGAACTTGAGCCAAAAGCCGACAACTGCACAAAGGTAAAACCTTCAATGTGACATATTTTTATTTTTCCACAGATACCTTGTTCATCATAGTTTATGCAACACTACATTCAGTCCATATCTCGATAGTTGACATAGGGATAATACACAAGTTCAGAGTTAAATCAAGTTTTTTCTCTGGAAAAGTTCTATTATTTCTGGCCTCCGTACAGATGTCTGTTACAACCTCATTAACTTCAAAAGAAGCATCAGTTTTATCAGTGCATCTGTACTGCAGGTTAATTAACTGAAGACAAAAATGCCATAAAAATAAAATCCAATGTTGTTCTAACTTGCCAGTATTTTGCATTGCAAATTTGCAAGTCTTGACCCTAATAAAGGCAGGAGACAACAGCAAATAAAATCACAGCCAAAAGAAACAGATTAAAGGAAAAGTAAATAAAAGTAATTGTGATGACCAGCTAAAACCAAAAACAAAACCTTTTATTTGATCTAAAGCATGTAAACTACATGGGGGATTTTTTTATTGTTACTAACCAATTTTACCTCTGGCAATCCCCATATTTTAAACCACTATATTCCATGGGCTTCAAATTAGACTATTGCCAGTAGAGGGAAAATTGCTCATTAACACAAAGTTAAAATAAGGCAGGTAACTCGGTGTGCAAAATAAAATCAAAAAATGACAATAGCATTGTAATTTCAACATTCCAAATGTGCTGTAATAAGAACCCTGAACTTTTGGACAGGGGAGAAGAATATGCTTGTCGTAAAATACACCCTTACAAACCCCGTATTGTAGTTATGATTCCTTACATTCCCCCATTTACAGAATAGGTTGTATATCATTTCTAAAAGATCTAGTCAAACAGATTGGGCCACACGCCTTTTTTTTTTTGCAAAAGCAGCATATTACGAAAATAGTAACTGGTTTGTGAAACTTTTCTTTCAGGTTCTAGTGTGGCATACACGAACAGAAAAGGTAAATCTAGCTAATGAGCCCAAACATCCTCAGGATACAATGAAAATTGAGGTATGATAGTCAATGTCATCACATGGAATCCTGAAAAGTGGACACCATATGGATCCTTAGATGTGGACCTCAAAAGATGATAAAGGAGCTGCCATTCCTTCACCCATATTGATCATGAGTTGGCCTTCAGCCAAAGCTTCAAGTCACTGGAATACAGAGAACTACAAACACTGCACATTTAACCAGAGAAACTACTGGGCCCCAGACTCCAGGTGCTGAGACAGCACCATGCACTTCTACTGCAGAACTATGGAGAACATATGAGCTGCACTATGGCTTCAAGGCATAACTGGACATATAATCCATAGTCCAAAGACCACTCAATTATGCCTGAAACCAGCATTAAACATGCCCCACCAGTGCTACGTTTGATATTTAACAGCTTGTATGTTTTTGTACATTGACTGCATGTGCCATCCCATCATCTGAATGCTATTAGACAAACCAGCAGCAGGATAATTTGGAAGTGTGTTGATTTGGCCCTACATGATGAAAGTAAAAGGTTATTATATAGAACATTCCACTTACAAAAGTACAGCACACAGATTAACCATTTGCCTTGTCAGTACTAGGTAATAAACTATATAGCCTGAGGGGCTGCATTAAATACAAACAAACAATCTGTAGGATCATAGATTAATACATGGGAGAAAACATTTCAATAATACGAGGCACCTTAAAATGTAAACACGATCACTGGCATAAATCTGGATGTACGTTCTAGCGAGGGACCTGTGTTTACTTCACGGTAGACAGAAAGAAGTCCATGATAAGTGAAGCTTATACACAGGATAACATTATTCTTTAGCACTGATGGAAACACACTTCCGTCAGTTCCATTATCTGAACCCCAAATATACACCATCCAGACTTATGTTGCTTTCATGTATGGTGGTACTTGTTCAGTACACTTGAAGTACATCACAGCTAATGATAAATGAACATCCAAAAAAGATACACAAGTAGGGGTGTCTGGTGATACATTTACAACCAAACAGAGAAATCATACCTCAGTATGACTAGTTTTTGTTTTTTTAAATAACCAAAGAGTAATTTGGAGTTGGGTTTTGGGTATTGTATTAAGAAAATGGAAAAACACCAATTATATCCAGTCCCTTTAAACCATAGCACAATAAAACCACATGTTAAAACACGTAGGTTTATAAACAGGTACAAATCATGGAAAATTGTTGATATGTAAATGTACCTTTTCCCACTACTATCAGACCTGACAAGCCTTTTTATGAACATCTGGAAGAGAGAGCTTAATATATATATATATATACAAAATTGAAACAAAGGGTATCGGTGTGCATTTAAAGCAAGGAATGTCAAATGGATCCTCTTGATGAAGGCCGTCCTTATTTCCACAGTTGTGTACTTAGAGTCTGACCAGCAGCGTTCCCTGACCATCCTGCTCCGACAGTGTTTGCTGGCTGACCAAATCCCATCATATTGCTTGCTCCATTCAGATTCATTGCACTCATCTGCTGATTCATCTGTGAAGCACAAGAATAGAATGTTGCAGTTAAACACAAGCACAACCAGCAGCTGTGAGGATTTCTAGTGCATGGCTGACGTTGTTCCATTTAAAGCAGCCTTGTAACTACAAATCTCTGTGGCATCCACAATCCTCACATGACAGCAATCTATAAAAGCTCAGTACCATTACATATTACTTTGGCACCATTACCAGCACAAAGTAATGAGAACATTTACAATCACAGCTCCTTTAAAATTACTTTAATTCCCTTTGTATTCACCCTTTGTTATTGTGGAAACCTTTACAAGTACACCTTTATAGTCCCGGTTCACTATTTCTGCCCTTCTGGATACCACTGCAGCCTCCTCACCTCTGTCACAAAATCATTTGTTTCCTTTCTAATACCTATTTTTGTCACTGGCGTCATTTGATAATTGGACATGAGTTTGACTAAAATCTAACTACGATTAAAAGATTACACAGAAACTTAAAACACAGACAAATGATCATCTGCCAATAATATATGTTCTTTTAATGGAAGTCTGTAAAGAAAAAAATGTTAATATGATTTTTTTTCATATAGTGCCTACTAGGTCTTGCCTATTGTCTCATTTGCGAAAATAAATTATTGTAAGCACAAGTTTGTCACTTTCTATTTATGCTAGAACCGATTAATACCAGATTTGCAGTTCATGTATGTCAACACGTGAACTTTAGGTGAGTTTTTAGATGTGTTTAGAAGGTCCAAAAGACTTGACCCCAATCACAATGTGCAGGAGAATGCAGTCAGCACTACTGTTGGTAAGGTACTTCCAGCAGGCTGAAAGCCCATTTCCATCTCTGCAGAGGTATTTAAAAAAAAAAGAAAAACACATGCCAGCAATGAACACTGAGTGTACATGAAGCAGGCAAATGCAGTTGATGTTTATGAAAACAGAAACTTAAATTTTTTTTGTTAGCTTTGCCCTTCATATTCTCATGGACATGCCTCTATGTTTTGCAAGCTCTTTTGAGCTCTACCATTCATTAGTATTCATAGTGGCACCCAGCCCCTCCATCTTCCCCTGGATAGTGTATTGTGTGCAATGGCAGAGCTGGTGTTTACTGATCATGTTACAAAGAATAAAAGGAAGGGGGAGAGTAGTTTACAGCTTACACCGACCCTGGTGTCAGACTGAGTTTCCTGTGGAGGACTTTCACGTATTTTATGAAAATGTGCACATGTATACATCATCACTGCACCTCTCCATTACCATGATGAATGCTAATCACCTACAAAAGGTGGAAATGGACTTTAAAAAGGGGAACACAGGAGAGGAAGAAGAGAAAGCAATGTATTTGCCTAGAGCTCCTTTTATCTCAGTGCAATGCATCACTTCAGGCCCATTCAAGGCAAAGTCAAAAGTTTTCTTGAAATTCTACCCCCTACCTACTGATATTCATCATCTCTGCAATCCAACACTCCAAAATGTCTTCATGAGACATGGCTCTAAACCTCTAAGCCTTGTGCAGAAGTTTACACAAGGTTAATTACCTGTTTCCCTACTCCCACGTGACAGTGTTCAGGCCTAGCCTTTGGCTGCTAAGGCCAGAGAACTGCATCATGGGAAGAAAAGGAGAAGATCAGATGCTCTCACACACACAGAAACAAAAGGAAGCTCCAACACATTTACAGAGCAGTGGGGGGCACAGCAAAATTATTAGGCTTACAAGAGTACCTTTCACTTGCCCTGAATAGGTAAATTAAAAAGTTATTTTGAACCTTAAGTGATTTTATCACAGCAGTTTTGCAAGGATGCAAATTGCAGGTGCTAGAAATACACATTTGAAGAATATAGCTGTATTTATAATATGATGGTGAAAATATATTACAGCACACAGGTAAGCATGTGAATTTTCAAATTAATATTACTTAAGGTAAACTTTGCAGTGATAAAGTAAAACACATAATCTTTCATATACTGTATATTGTATTTTTGTTTTAAAAAAGCTAGCAGTGTTTCTTTTCCTTACACTGACTAGAAAACACTTTACATTTACTGCTTGTTTTGCACTGTTTTATCAGTTTTACAACATTGGATTTTATTTTTATGGCATTTTTGTCTTCAGTTAATTAACCTGCAGTACAGATGCACTGATAAAACTGATGCACTGATAAAACTGATGATACTTGTAAACCCCTTATGGACCACAGCAACTTTCATTTTTCAAATATGAGCCTGTTTAATCGGCAATAACAAACACTATTTTTTTTATTCTCAAAGACGAGCTAAGCTTTCTTTTGGTGATATTGCCTTGCAAACATTTTAACTATTTCCTATGCAATCCATAGACACTGGTGTGATAGAAAGCAAATTCCGGCTCTCATTTTTATAGCTGGGATTTGTAGGTAAATGCAGTGGAGGAAGCAGCAGAGGGGAAGAGGAATAAGGAGCGAGATAAAGGGCCCCTATATGTGTAAGTAGTAGTAAACTCTCAAACTTTTTTCAATAATGAATCCAGATCAAAGTATGTGTAAGTAGTAGTAAACTCATAAAACTTTTTTCAATAATGAATCCAGATCAAACAAATATGCATTGGCCAGCAATGGATTTATTTACGTTTGCCCAAACATTTACAGTCAACATGTTTCTGAACAGCCGACATCAATTCTCACAGTTCTGCTTTACTGAACTTCTGGTCCTATAAAAAAATTACAAGGGACAGAACATTTTCCAGCAGCTCTCCAACTACTAGCTTGGAGAAGGAAGGAGAGGGGAGATGGGAGGCCAGTGACTTGCATTGCTCCGTGTGTTTGTGGAGACACGCATAGCTTGCTAGTGCACACATAGGATCCTGCAAGGGAAAGGAGTCACCCTAAAACCAGATATCAGGATCAGTGCTCAGGGGACCAGCTGATTCTGCAGGGAGCAAAAACTTTTTTTTAAAAAGGAGCGGCATCCAATGCAAGTGATTTACTCAGCATTGGAAATAGCTCAAAACTCTTGACTTTTAATTAGTTTTTTTTAAAACATATGCTACACTCTAAATCTACAAATTGTAAATGTCTAGTCAAAAACAAAGAATTTAACTGTATATATATTTATTGTTTAACTTGAGAAAGGATCTCTAATTCTGTACTGTCAAACAGTTGATTTACACACCTTAAATCACAATGTACAGCTCAGCAGGTGACATGTTTCCTGATTAAGCTATTCAACCTTCTATGTCTCCTCTCCACCCCTAGCTTGCTCATTAAACAATAAACCAGCCTCAATACCTCCATCCAAACAGCAGTAGGGGATCTAGAAAAAGAGTGAAGCTGAGCCATTACTCAAAAAAGTTAAATCAAGAAGGAACAGAGTTATCTTCCTGGTTGTGCAGCATAGCACAGGTATATGAATTCCATGACTAGTTGTAAAGATTTACAAGTCTTTTGGAAAGTAAAACAGTAACCATGTATCCAAGCAGTTTTCTTAAAAGTGCCACTGAATAGTTCATGGAACTGCAAGAAACACTCACACTGTTTAGCCATTATATCCGGATATTTTTCTGCTAGACTTGAGAAAACCTTTGTATTCTGCGGTTTTAGCTATAAATACAGAACACGTTGTATGCAGAACTCTACTTCAGTACTTGCTTACATATAATGCAGGATGGAAACTGTCAGAAATGAGGGACGATGGTGGTAAACAAGGATGTGTTGAAAGTATTCATGAGCCGAGCTAATAAGCGCCCAAAGCTCAGAGTTCAGAGCACACAAGGTCTATAGCAATATCCAACAATCTAGTTACGCTGTAAGACACATATATGTCAGCTCAAAAGCCACTGTAAGATGCCTATATTTCAGCTCAAAATCCAGCAAACCTTCCGAGACAAACAAGATTTTATCACTGTTTTCCACTGTGATCTCCCCAGCCACTGTCCAAGGCTGAGCAGGCTAAGCTTGCTTTATAACGTGCCGCTTTACCGCCTTTTTATGAAGGAGTTGCAACCAACTGAAACGTTGCAATATAAAACAAAGCAGTGAATTATAAAACAATACTGGTGTGCTTCAGTGATCTTTTCTTCCTTTCATTCTTCTCAATGCCATAAGGAACCAGGAAATTCTATTTTTGTTCTCTAGGGCTCTGTGGACCATTGATAACTGGGCTAATCGTGAATTGCTGAATTTTTTACGGTTTTCTATATTCAAAACTGTGTACCCAGGCTCATGGAAATATTTTTTTAATATGCATTGTTTGAATATTTTAACATACCATAAACAGGAAAATTAATTGGCATTTTGAGAATTACCCTGCACAAAATGTCCATGTCAATTGAGTTACTACCATGAGTGACATATATGTGACTGAACACATTCTAACATTTGAAGTTTCCTCATGTAAAAAATGCCAACCGTGTTACAGTCTACTCATGAACAGGCATCCTAAACCAGCATTGCCTATTTTAACATAGAGTCATATGCGGGCAGCCATGGCTGACCTCCATGCTACATGCTTGGCTATAATGTTCATCCTCAGGCGTAAATACATGGATTCCCATGCTTTTTCAATTTACAAACATTGTGTGGTCCCTGATATTGGCTGGCAAGGTCAATTTTATTTCTGACCAGTAGTCACGTTTGTATTTTTAAAGAAACATGTTGTTTGAGAAACATGTAGGCTGTCATTACTGAACATTTTCCAAAAATGTGTCACTGGCCCAAAACCAACATGCATGTCAGGAAAGTTAGGTAAAATTGTTGTGAAAGTGATATAGTTTGTGAGATAGTTAAACCACTGATCGTTCAGCTCACGATCTTCTCCAGGCAGAGCGCAGTGACTGTCAGTCACCATTAAACGCAGGGATTTCCCCCACCCCTCTCTGTTCCTCCAGAGCTCATTGAAGGGACAGGCCGGGATGGGTGGGGGGCGGTCACAGCTGGCTCTGCTTCCAGAGAGGCAAAGCCAGCTTTGGGAGAGACATCGGGCATACTCATCATTTTCAGCTGTTGGTGATTCAGTGGAGAGGGAGACATCGGACACCAGAGAATTT